TGTTCCCTTAGAGACTGCAGTCTAGGAGACGCGACATAGGGTCACTATGAGTCAGAGCCCACTCCAGGGCACTTAGCAACAACACAACTGATAGACACAGCCTAATAATTCATTATGGGTCGGAACTGACTCGACAGCACCTAATAACAGCAACAATGATAAGATTAGGCTTATAAATTCAGAACTGTGAGGCAAATTATTGGAAAACTTCCTCTGCCATAACATGTCTCCTCTCCACCAGGACCTTGTCCACAAATCTCGAGACCCTCTGCCCAGCCCTTCTCCCCACCTCCTCTCAGAAAGACTTCTACCTCAGGCTAGTTCTGCTTCTCGGGCTCCTTTCATCCAAATAATTGCTTAAGACTTGTTCAGAGCCTACAAAGGTGGCGAGGCAAGATCTCCATGCTGCAGCTGGGGACCTAAACATATACACAATCAATTGTTGTTAAGTGCCATCAAGTCAGTTCCAACTCACAGTGACTCTGTATAGGGTTTCCAAGGAGCAGCTAGAGGGTCTGAACCATTGACCTTGTGGTTCACCACACCACGACAGTGGAATGGTATCTGTAAAATTTACACAAAATACTAGCAGCATTGCAAGAAACAGCCACTATTTTTTTGCCAGGAAGTCAGGTGAGGCTTCACAAACGATGTCCTTCATGACCTTGGCCTTAGACAGGGAAACAAGCCGGTTGCCAACCAGTTAACGTTGCCAGCTCTCCAACACAAGGGTCATTTACAGCTGCGGCTCAGCATTGAGAGGTGTTGGAATTCTGGGAGAACTGGGAGATTCCTCACTGCTCCTATACTGTCCTACCACACCTACTTCCCCTAATATTTCTTCCCCTTTAAACTAACAATCCAAACCCACTACGCTCAAGTTGATTCCAACTCATAGCAATTGTGTAAAACAGAGCAGAAAGTGCTCCTTTGGGTTTCCAAGAGTAAAATGTTATGGACATGGACCCCTAACCTTGCGGGTAGCAGTCCCATGCTTAACCCACTCCACTACTAGGGTTCCTTGATTCCCCTTTAGTGATTATTGTTAAGTGTTGTCAATTCAGTTCTGACTCATAGAGACAGATTTATATAGGATTTCTGAGGTGAGGCTAGTGAGTTTGAACCACTGACGTTGAAGTTCAAACTAACCTTATAGTCCAGTGCTTTATCCTACAGGCCTATGGAGCCTTCAACACAGACACTATAATGGAAGTCATAGTAGACTGCTGTTATTGTTATGTGCTGTCAAGTCGATTCCAACCCATAGCGAACCATATAGGGTTTCCAAGGAGCACCTGGTGAGATTGAACCACAGACCTTGCAGTTCAAATGGCTTTGCAGTCTGGTGCATTAACCCACAGTTCCACACCAGACAGCTAAATAATTTCACTTTACTGTCCTTAGACACAGCACATTCTAGTAGCTCCTCATTCTTAAGTCTAGTACAAAGTCTGTAAGACTGCATTCTTAACTCCATGGACTTTGATATATTGTTGGCCTAGGGCTACCGTAACAAGTCTCAAAAACGAAGAGGCCTAAAGCAACAGAGATGCATTCTTTCACAGTATGGAGTCTAAATGTTTACAATGGTGACAGCAAGTTCATGTTGATTCTTGGGACAATATCATTAATATTACATGCAAATAACATTTTGCTAAAGATAATTCAAAAACAGCTGCAGCAGTGCATTGACAGGGAGCTGCCAAAGGTTCAGGTCTAATTCCGACGGGATCATGGAATGAGGAACAACATTGCTGCCATCAGATGGAGCATGGCTGAAAGTAGAGAATACCAGATAGATGTTTCCCTGTGCTTTATTGACTACATGAAAGCTTTTGATTGTGTGGATCATGACAAGCTATGGACAACATTGTGAATAATGAATATTCAGGAACATTTAATTGTGCTCTTGAGGAACATGTACATAGGCCAAGAGGTAGTTGTGCCAACAGAACCAGGGGACACTGAGTGGTTTAAATTCAGGAAAGGTGTGAGCCAGAGTTGTAATCTTTCACTGTACTTATTCAATGTGTATACTGAGATCAGAAGAACAAGATGTTACCCAGTTACCACTACCAACTGCTCTAAAAGGGATCACATAAGAAGGTCCAGGACAGAGTGGGGTAAAATGTGGAACAAAATTCAAAATCATGAAAGAGATCAAGTTTACTGTTCAGACAGAAACTGGCAGATCCCCTGAAAATATGGTCTTCAGTTCCCCTTGAGATCTGGATCTGAACTCGCCCCTGTGGTCCAACAGCCATTGCACCCACAAGCAGGTATAGGAGGCCAACACTAACACTAGTGAGGCTGTACACCTTAGGGAGTCAACAAGTCAAGATCGAAAGGGCAGCATTTACCCCAAGACAAAGTTCAGAAGGTTTCAGAAAGGAGTCATGGGAAAGGGAGGCAGTAGGATCAATGATACTACATTGAAGGGATTGTACTCAGTAAGATGAAACAAAACAGGAGAAATTGTTGAATGTGAAAGTGATTATCTGCTCTGTAAACATTTACCCAATTCACAATAAAAAGAAAAAAAGAAATACCCAGGGCACCAAAGTTTAAGAGACAAGGAAGGACAGTCAACAGAGAGAGTACAGCCAGCCAAAACCCTGACTTCAGACAACTAGGCTCTAAAAGTGTGAGAAAGTAAATCTCTCTTCTTCAAAACCACCCACTTTTTGGTATTTTGCTATAGCAGTCCTCGGAACCTAAGACCGTTACTTCATCTGCTCTCTGGTCATCCATTGGTCAGGTAATCTAGGAAAAGCAAGATCAAGAATAATTTCTCTTTATTTATCAGTTTTCAAAACAAGTTGGTTTCCAAGGATCTACTAAAGGCTTCCAAGGATGCTTCTTTGTTGTATTACATGCATGGTAGTTTTCTATTGCTGCCATCACAAATCATCACAAATGAAACAGCTTAAAATACTGCAAATTTAATCTGTATCACAATTCTGTCGGTCAGAAGTCCACACAAGACACCCCAGGTCAGCAGGCCACAGTCCCTCCTGGAGGCTCTGGTGGAGAATCGCCCAAGCTCTTTTAGGTGTTGACAGAGTTCAGCTCCACATGGATGCAGGACTCAGGTCGCGGTTTCCTTGCAGCCATCTGAAGGTCTTTCTCAGATGCGAGGTGCCATGCCTTGGCTCGGGTCTCTCTTTTCCTTCAGTGCCAGCTGCAGTAGGTCCAATACTTCTCAGGCTTCAAGTCTCTCCTGCTGCTTCTGTGGCCACATCTCCTGAGTGGCCTCCGGATACTCTCGTCTCTTCCATAGTATCTTTGTAACAACATTGGGTCCACCTGAGTAACCCAGGAAATCCCCCTTCTTAAGGTTCATATCACTAATTCCATCTTCAAACTCCTTTGTCATGCTATGTGACATATCACTGGTTTTAGGGATTAGGGCATGGACACCTTTGTTGTTGTTGTTGTTGTTGTTAAGTGCCATCAAGTTGGTTCTGACTCAACAACCCTGTATAGAGTTTCCACGGAGCAGCTGATGAGCTTGAACCACTGAATCTGTGGTTCAAACTGACCTTGTGGTCCAGCGCTTTATCCCACAGTGCCACACCAGGACTTGTTTGGTTGGTGTGTTATGTACCGTGGAGTCGGTTCCGACTCATAGAGACCTTGTATACGGTTTCTGAGGCTGTAAATATCTATGGGAGCAGAAAGCCTCATCTTTCTCCCACGGAACAGCTGGTAGTTTCGAACTGCTGACCTTGAGGTTAGCAGCCCAACTCATAATCACTACACAACCAGCGCTCCTTTAGAATTCCTTTAGAGGACTGTTATTCTGTTTATCAAAATACACATTTCTAAAAGACAGGTAGGAATACTTCAAAATAATACCATTCCTGTGTGATGGACTGTTTCTTTATAAACTTGAATTTATTCCAAACTTTCTAAACTATATGCATTATACTCATAAATCCTCCTGAAGTTGTGAAGAAAGAGACTGATGAACAGATGGTGGTTGAAATCCCAGCTCTGCATTCTTGGGCAAGTAATTGAACATGTCACCATCAGCTTCCCATACTTGTCAAGATAATAATTATTCCTCTAATAAAATTGATTTAAAAAGAAAAGTCTATAAAGGATCTACCATAAAAACACGAGTTTTCTTCCCAGCTCCTTCCTAAAGTGATCACATTGTACTGTTATTAACTGTATCTCTGGGCTGGTCACTAGCCTTTCAGCGCTTAACCAATGCTCCACCAGGAAATGCTGATCACACTTAATCTCTGGAATATGGTCCAGACATTAACACCACCATCTATCAGTGGAGGCTTGCGTGTTGGCTTCAGTAGAACTTCCTGAGCATGGCAAATTGAAAAGACAGACCTGGTGATCCATCTCCAAACACCAGCCAATGAAAACCCAATGCAGCCTAATGATTCCCACCCATAACCAATCATGGTACAAAACCGGCTAACATTTCATCCTGTTATGTATGCGGTCATCATCGGTCAGGGATCAATTCAACAGCAGCTAACAACCACAGGCTATTCAGATATTATAAATACAGCTACTTCTTATAATAGAAAATGTTTCAGTAATCATTTATCTTTTGTTAGCTGAACTCACAGTGAGTCTCTGTCCTAAAGGACTCAACTCAGCCTGAAAACTGGCTTTGCTAAGCTGGGGCGCTTAGTTCTGTCGCCCACTGCACGAAGACACTGGGATAGATGCTTTTCTTCAATTTCCACCCACCATTTACTGCTACATATTCTATGAGGGCCCTTTCGGTTCTAAACTTTTGTCACTCTTGTTTATAGAGTGGTAGGGTATATAAGGCTGTTGGCCCAGCACATGGCAGATTAAAGTGCTCATTAAGTGTTTAAGTATTATCATTATTATAATAAGTTGTAGCAATTAATGTCTTCTAGACTTCCAGCCAATTATTCTATAGTGATAGCGCTCCCTCTCTCTGCATTCCTCATTTTGTGTCTTTAAAAATTCTTCTCTATTCTCAGCCCATGAAGACTGTCCCCACCTCAGAGACAATATGGCAATGACCACAGAGTTGGGGAAACAGAAACCGTTGAAAGAGGTGGCAGGGATCCCCCTGCAGGCTGCATCTGTGGACAACTGGAGTCAAATCCAAAAATTTGAGGCCAAGCCAGACGATCTTCTCATTTGTACCTACCCTAAATCAGGTGACTGTGGGGAGGGGCAACAGAGACCTTTGATCTGCTGAGCCAGCCAACAGAGCCTTTTCATATAACTTGGAATTCCTCTTGACAGCATGTTTGTATTTATTCTAGAACGCTTGCTCCTTCCGATTGTTCCTGAGTGCATTTGCTCTCAAAATGCCTAGTACCCCTGAGTTTAGCCAGGGATCAACACACTGGCTTCACAGGACCCCACCAAGTGTATGCTCTGAGTGGATGGCATAAGGGGCTTCGCCTCCCCCACTTCCTCTCATAGCTGTCTCCAAGGCAGAAAAGGAGAAAGAGGAGGCTGATTCCGGTGGAAACCCAAAGCCCACTGTCAAAGGATGAGGTTTTCCTGCACAGATCTCCATCTGTCCAGACTCACAGATCCTAACTTCAGGGAAGGTTATCAAAGCAAACATCAATCTCTAAGTTTTCTCTGTTTAATAAGCAGGAGGCAGAGGGACAGATGATTTAACAAGTTTCTGCTTCTCACCCTTTCCATCTGGGCCTCAGGGACAACATGGATTCAGGAAATTGTGGACATGATCGAACAGAATGGGGACTTGGAGAAATGCCAGCGGATGATCATCCAACACCGCCATCCTTTCATTGAGTGGGCGCGTCCCCCCCAGCCCTCTGGTAAGAGCGCCAGTCACCTTGGCCTGTCTCTAATCCTTCTTTCTCTTCTCTGCTGCTATTTCTATCCTCCTTGTCTCAGTCCTCACCTTCTTCTGCTGCTTCTGTCTTTTTTCTATTTCCTCTGCTTTTTAAAATTTCTCTTGTTCTTCATCCTCTCTTAAACCCTTTTGTTCTTTCTCTCCTTTTTGAACACTTTAATGTTTTTTGGCAGAAATGGATCACCGAATAGGGATATATGTTAGTGATCCATTCTGGTTTATTTCCTCCTTACACCACCACCCCCTCTAGTCCTGTGCTTTTTAGAACACACAGAGAAAGCACCAAGTTGCTAATGGGCAATTCACACCCCTCACTTACCTCCACCCCTTATTAGCCTGATTCTACCAAGCGCCTGCTAATCGCCCAATTCTGTATTTGGAGACATTCATTTCTATTAAGTGGACTGGCCTCTTTTAGATCATGTGCAGCCTGGGAGCTTTGCTCTTCAGAATGAAACAGAGAAGGTCAGCGCAGATACTCCAAGTGACTAGAAGTTTCAGGAAGTATTTTGTGAACTTTTTTGCAAACAATCACTGGAGAAAGACCGATTTCTCTGTGGGTACCATTGTACAGACCAGTGTCAGCTAAGTAGCCAGAACTAAGAAAATGCACTCAGTGCAACTCTAGCATTATAGACTGGAGCAACTGGTTGAGAGAATCTCTGAAAAATGTGGGGAGAGAAGAGTTCCGGAGCGGACACACATCAGAATCATGGAACCTGGGCAGAGGCATGTCTCCAGTATAGAGTATTCGTTTTCCTCAGACCCCCTGGCTGCCAGCCCATCTGACTCTCTTTGGCTCTCTTGGTTATGGCTGCCTCTGCAGTCTTCACGGCCTAACAAAGAGCTTTGTAATCAAGTGTGCGGCTTCATTCCTGTCCTTCCCTGTCTATGTGGCTCTGACCCTGTACACAGTTTACCTCTGCTTGTTTAATTATGATCCCTCTCCATGTGTAACCAAGACCGCCAATGTTTATTAGTGTCTGGCCTGATGCTTGAGAAGCAGAGTTGTACCTTCACGAGAGACTCACCCATAGCCCACTGCAGTACAGTTGGTCCTGACTCTTAGTGACTACAATTGCTTTAGCCCACTACCATCCAGCCGATTTCCACTTACAAGCACCTTGTATTGGCAGCTCTGGTAGCGGAGTGGTTACGAATTGGACTGCGAGGCACAAGGTCAGCAGTTCGAAACTAACCAGCTGCTCTGCGGGAGAAAGGTGAGGCTTTCTGCTCCCATAAAGATTTACAGCCTCGGAAACCCTGTACAGGGTCACTATGAGTCGGATCCGACTCCACGGCACCTAACAACAAATTGGGTATCTGAGGCTGTAAATGTTTATGGGAGCAGAAAATCTCATCTTTCTCCCATGGAATAGCTGATGACGCTGAGCTTCAGACCTTGTGGTAAGCAGCGCCTCCATGTTAGTTAGCCTTTCCGTTTCTCCACCTGCAGCATGTGGCTAGAATGAGTGACTACCTCACTATATATTAACTACCTCACTATATATTAACTATCTCACGTATTTTAACTCATTTAATATTCACAACAACACTTGTTAATATATGTCTTCGTGTGGTGCTGCGGGTTAATGCGCTGGACAGCAATGTCAGTTTGAACTGCAAGATCGGTGGTTCAAGCTCACCAGCCACTCCTTAGAAACCCTACACAGGGTTGCTATTCAATGGCACTTAACATCAACAAAAATATATGTCAAAAGTTTATAACAACATCTGGCTCATGGTAGATAGTATCCTGTAGGATAAGCACTGGACTGCTAATCACATGGTCGGCAGTTCAAACCCACCAGCCATTCCTCGACAATCCTGTACAGGATCTCTATGAATGAGAACCAACTGAATGGCACTTAACAACAAGAACAAGTGCTAGGTATTGTGAATTAACCACATTCCAGCTGACTCCTTGCCCTCGGCCATCATGTAGTCCTGAATCTTACAAGCTCAGACTTCGATCTTTTTTCTGCTTTCTGTCTTTGTCACTGTTGTCTTATCTTTGACAATCTGGGAGATGAATAGAGAACAAAAGAATCTAAGTCAGAATTCTAATGAGGTGTTTCTGGTAGTTTGAAACAGAATCCAATCACTGAGTCTCCATGAGAAACAGGAAGGCATTCTCTCAAGTCAACACCAACAACTCTAGAATTTGGAGAAATGATGATAGTACCCCATAGACCAGCATAACAAGGCATACAGAGGTCCAAATGGTTCTTGAGAAACCAAAGTACCCAATGTTCAAAGAAATAACAGATTACAAACAGCCGCAGGCTTTGGGGTCTTTACAGCCACAAATGCAATAGTGCTGGCCAAGCAGTTTGATTTCAGAGTAAATGATCTCTACACCACAGAGGTAAGAAACACCACTGAGAGTAGGAGGGTGGTTTCTGAAACACACCAACATGTGATAGTCAAGTATGCCAACTATCTTAAAAGGGAATCTGGGATGGGATGGTAAGTGTAAAGCAAAAAATAAAAACGTGCCAGCAACATTACAAAATGGGGACAGAACTTGAACTTGAATCGACATTTCTCCTAAGAAGCTATACAAATGGACAATAAACATATGAACAGATATTCAACCTCCTTAGTCTTTGTTGTTAGGTGCTGATGAGTTAGTTTCAACTTCTAGCACCCCTGTGCACAAAGGAACAGAACCCTGCCCGGTCCTGGGCCATTCTCACAACTGTGGGTACACTGGCGCCCACTGCTGCTGCCACATATGAAATATCTACAATAGGCAAATACATAAATGCAGAAGGTGGCTGGCAGGCCAGCAGGGCTAAAGGAGCAGGGCTTGAGGACTTACATTTAAGGGGAGCAGAGCTTCTGTTTGGGATGACGACAAAGTTTTGGAAATGGATGCTAGTGAAGGTTATACAACTTTCTAAGTATAATTAATGCAATCAAGTTGAACATTTAAAAATGTTTAAGTTTTGTTATGTATATTTTATGAGAGTAAAATTACATAAGTGTGTGTTGTTGTTAAGTGCCGTTGAATCGGTTCTAACACATAGTGACGCTGTATAGGGTTTCCCAGGATCAGCTATGTTGGAACTGTTGACCTTGCAGTACGCCATCCAGTGCTGAGCCTACAACACCACATCCAGACACACACACACACACACACACACACACACACACACATACACATACACATACACATACACATACATATACATATATATATATATATATATATATATAAAGCTCCCAGAGACACTATGGTGTGGAGCTGTCTCCTACCTATTCAGGCTCCAACTCCGTTCTCCTCCCACTTTCATCCCTACAACCAATGCAGTCACTCAACAATCAAGGTATCACAGGTGTAATTGTTGTTGTTAAGTGCCATCGAGTCAGTTCTGACTCAAAGTGATCCTGTGTAGGGTTTCCAAGGAGCAGCTGATGAGCTTGAACTGCCGACCTTGCAGTTCAAACAGCTTTGCAGTCTGGTGCATTAACCCACAGCACCACCCCAGGACTCCACAGGTGTAATTACATGAGGATGTATTCAAAACACAACAAATCTGTAGTGAGTGCGTGTGAGTGTCAGTAAGAGTGTGTTTGTGTGTGCATTTAAATTGTAGAGAGGTAAAAATCTAGGGATTACCTGCTAGTTCAACAAACATTGATAGCCCTCAATATTGTGGTCCTGTTTGCTGTTGTTGTTAGTGCCATCGAGTCGGTTCTAATCCATAGCGACCCTGTATCAGGTTTCTGAGCAGTGACTGGTGAGCCTGAACCACCAACCTTGCAGTTCAAACTCACTTTGCAGTCCAGCGCATTAACCCACAGAGCCACACCAGGACTCCTATGGTCCCATGGCAGGGATAAATTCAGATTACATAAGTGCACATACCAAAGGAGCATTATGTGTCACTATGATGCTGACAAAGGTTTCTGTAGTACTTCCAGACTAGCACAGACAAGGAAGAAAGACCTGATGATCCACAGCATTCCTCATCACACTGTACACGGCACATCAGGAGTCTACGGCTGACTCAGCATTCCCCATCACACCGTACAGGGCGCATCAGGAGTCTACGGCTGACTCAGCATTCCCCATCACACTGTACACGGCACATCAGGAGTCTAAGGCTGACTAAGCATTCTCCATCACACTGTACACGGCACATCAGGAGTCTATGGCTGACTCAGCATTCCCCATCACACCGTACACGGCGCATCAGGAGTCTACGGCTGATGACAACCACAGCAGCATGCTAGCTAGACTCGGCATAGGGTGAGGTCATTAGGGTAGGAGGTGCAGGAGGTGGAGAGGACGTGGTTAAAGGACAATTCCTGGAGAATTTATGTGGTACCTGATATGATACACTGTCAGTGTTGGTGCATTTCTGTCCACCTCACAAATTCCTAGGGAAGCAAGAAATCACCTTCTGTCTAACGCTGTACTCCCACACAGCCATCTGCACAAACGCTGCTTTAGAAGGTGATTGCTGAATTGATTTATCCCCATATAACGGAGTCCTTTTGTGGTGCTGTAGGATAAGCACTGAACCACAAGGTGGTTAGAATTGCAAGTTCAGCAGTTCAAACTCACCAGTTGCTCCTCAGAAACCTTATGAAGGGTCACTATGAGTCAGAACCAACTCAATGATACTTCACAACAACAAGCCTTAGATCATTTGACTCAACTTCCAGAGTTAAAGTCCTTGAACAGACAGTAACAGCAAACTGGTACCCTGCCTTCCCTTCTTCCCCTCCAGGTGGGACTGGGAGGGAAACTGCACACTGAGAGGGACGTGCACTTCACACACTAGAGTCTAAGTGGCCAAGGCAGTGTGCAAGGGCGATGAGACAATCCCAGTAACATTTCCTGGAGCACTGATGTGACAGAGAGCACAGATAATCCACCTAACTTGGGAAACACTGGCAGCTTGCTTTCAGCAAAGTCTCACACACCAAGAAGCAGTTCTTCAGCAGAAAAGGTGGAGCTGGGGCTGAACGGGGCCTGCCAGGGAGGAAGGGGAGGGGTGCTGTTGCTCATCATTGGTGGGAAGGGTGCTCGTGAGCCCTGAGCAGACTGTGATGACCAGAAGTAATGCCCCATTCAGGCACTGGCGGTCACTGCCCACAAGGCATCAGTGACTGACTCGTGATAAAAGTGACGAGAGCCTCCAGACCCACTAGTATCAGAAGGGAAGCTATAGAGCAGCAGGTCACATCTCAGACAGAGAGCATGGGGACCGGCAGTCTCCTTCCACCTGGCCCTTGTCCTGTGTCCTCTGTGCCAACTCACAGTCTCCTCACGTTTGCCATCTCTTTGTCACTTTATATTGTGCTTGCTAAGCTCTATCATCATTTGATTTTCAGCTGTGTCCTGCTATTCAACCTGATTCAGCCATGTTCAGACCGACCCAAAAATGCTCAAAGATAAACAAAGAACCCAGAGGGAGCAGGATTCAGACACTAAACAGTCAAAATGTGACAACAGTATCCCAGAATGAAAGGCAGGAGAATGGAGAAGTATCTTTCAGCAGGTTCCTATTTGCCTACCCCACCCCTATCTTTGGGAAACCGGACACGGATAAGAGAGGGCCTCAGACACCAGTTAGCTTAGCCCAGTGCTCAAAGATCTGAAGACACTTCTTAGGCAATGAGGTCCCACCACCCTCCAGAGCCTCAGAGTAGGGGGGAGCTCAGTGTAGGGGTCACTTCATAGCAAAAAGAGTTGATTCACATTAAAAGTAAAATTCTATTTTATAACCAGTTATGGGGGTTTCTTTGCAATTTTCGAAAAGGCTGTTTCACTCAGCCAACCTTTTCACCCTGTGTAAAGAAGGAATCTGCTTCCTTTAAGATGTGTCAGGGTCAAAACTTAAGTGTCATCTAAGAGCATCCAGGTACTCTTAATCCCTGGAGCTCTTTCATTCTCAGCACTAACAGTTCTCTGCTTACTCCTGACGTCATGTGTACACATCTCAGGTTCCTACAGCATAGAGTAAGCTTCTTAGAGAATATGGCTGTATCTTCTTTCCCACTAAACTGAAATTAACACAAAGGTTACACAGAACAATGTCTAATAAATATTTTAAATGAGAGTAGAAATCATGAATGAAATGCCATCAACTATGAGTATTTTAAAAATGAAAGAAAAAAGAATGAACTATTTGCCAGGCACATGTACAAACTGCTCTATAAAACATCAGAATCTGAACTGGCTGCTTGTCAAGAGGTGTCTGGTTCCTGGTCCTGGTGGACTTCGCCTCAAACAAGATGTCACTTTTCCATTCTCTGTTTCTGTCTTTTCATTCTTAAAGTGACAGAGTTAGAATAAATTAATTGTAAGATCCACCTTTGGTTCTCAAGTTCTGTGATTCTGTGAAACGAATGGTAAGATCAGTCATTTCATCGTGAAATCACAAAAGAAAAGCACAAGGTGAACCAAAAGATAAGCAAGTGATGGGACATTCTGGGCCAAGTCTAGCAGGTAAGTTCCCCAGTAAGTTCGTGCACTCTGAGATGTTTCCTCTTGACATATTTTACAGGAGTGGAAAAAGCTAACGCAATGGCCTCTCCAAGAATACTAAGGACTCACCTTCCCACTCAGCTGTTGCCTCCATCTTTCTGGGAAAACAACTGCAAGGTAGAACACACACATTCACACACACACACGCCAATCTTTTTCTCCAGTGACAGAAGGGGATATTGAGTTTAGTAAGAATAAATCCTCCAGAACCCAACTTAGAACATCTGTCATTCATAGTCACTTGGCCACTGTCTCAGGTCTGGCGAATGTACCAGCACTAAGAGGAAATGTGTAGCGCTCCATCCAAGAGGCTGCCCACCTACTGACTTTCCTGTAAGACCCGAGGACACGGGGCTTATGAATCGAGAAGTGGAGATGCGGGAGGAGGCAGTTAGTGCCTGGCTCTGAATAAGGAGACACAGGATGGTGCTCAGAGATGGAGGTGACGGGAAAGTTCCTTCAACAGAGCAGCGAGGAAAGAGTTCAGGAGAGAAAAACACTTAAGTTGTTTTGGGTTTTTTTGTTTTTTTTAAGGTAAACAGATGAAGCTATGTTCTTGGGAAAGGAGCTCTGATAGTGTAGTGGGTTGCAAGTTGGGCTGCTAACCAAGGTTGGCAGTTCAAATCTATTGGCCCCTCTGTGGGAGAAAGATGAGACTTTCTGTTCCTGTCAAGAGTTACAGCCTCGGAAACCCTCTATGGGGTCTCTGACTTAGAACCAACTCCACAGCACATCATCACCAACCACCATGTTCTTAGAAAGGAAATTCGGTTTTGACCGCTAGTAGACTTAAGGCTCATCAAAGCAGAGATTTTCTTTTAGTTTTCTTTTAGTCTAGTGGCTAATACAGATGTCCAGGTGTAATACAGATGTCCAGGTATAATACAGATGTCCAGGTATAGCACATGATTGGCGGTTCGAACCCTCCAGCCACTCCTTAGAAACTCTATACAGGGTTGCAACTGGAATTGACTCGACAGCACTTAACAACAACAACACAGTGTCTGATAAGTTCCTGGCACATAGAGGGCATGTTTCCTAAATGAACAAATGACTCAAGGTCTGGAAGGGAATGAAATCAAGGGTACAAACTGAGTTGTCACTCACGGTTTGAAAACGAGAAGGGCACTGCTTTCTCAGAGGTGGGAAGAAAAAGGGAAGTTCAGAAAGATAGATTTCTCAGGGAGAAGAGGGATGCAGAGAGGATTTCCATGAAGTGAACCAAATCCTTCCAATACAATTGCATATGGGGAAGAGGGCTTCCATCTCTAGGACTATGCTTACATCAAGTGAACCAAATCCTTCCAGTACAATTGCACATATCTCTAGGACTATGAACAACTGCTGTTGCTGCGGTTGTTGTGGCTAAGGGCCTTCAAGTCAGTCCGGACTCATGGAAACTTGTGTAGGGTTTCTGAGGAGTGGCTTGTGGGTTTGAACTATTGACCTAGTGGTTAGCAGTCCAATATTTATCCTTCATTCCACACCAGGACTCCCATGCTTAGAGCACATGAAACAAGAAAAGTGAAAATTGAAACAGACAATTACAAATACTCACAGCATCTGGAACCACAAAAGGACCACAGCCTTTGGACAGGCAGCAATGGTAGAGCCAAGGATGCCTTTCTTCTTTCATCTAGGCTCTCAGCTCCCCTGAGACTAGGTAACCACAAGTCTCTCCCCACAGTTTGAAATTCAAACTTACACATCTTGTTTTGTCCAAGAAACAGAAAGCTGATCAATGAACATTAAGTGGTCCCACAGCCCCAACTGTCAGTGATCACAGGTGCTTGAGAGAAAAACACAAATCCTCTCTGGAAGGACACAGTTTCAACTTGTACTCCACAAGATTTCCAATTAAGCTTGCCAACCAAAAACACCAAATACACAAAGAAGCAAGCCACTCTGAAAGAGGGTCTGCAAAATGAACACACAGCAGAATTAGCCTTCAATACTTCTGACAGTCAGCAGTTCACATTCACCAGCTGATCCTCAGACACTCTATCCAAGGTCACTACTAGCCAGAACCGACTCGATGACACTCAGCAATAGTTATCAGTAAAGCATTGGATTTAAAATATAAAACAGCAAAGAATGTTTAAAGTGTGTAAGGAAATAAAAGATTGACTAACACCAAAAATAAATTCTTATTATTAAATATAATTACCAAGTACACAGAATTTCTATAACTGAAAATATGTAATCATGGACAAACCCTCAAGGATAGGACATAGAAAGATACAGCTGAAGAGAGAATTAGTGAATTGAGAGAGGAAGCTGGACTGAGACTTTAGAGGAAGAAGACTTGCAGCTAGTGATGAGAAATGTGATGGGAGCAGAGGAATTTTAAAATTGGTTGTGGAGCAGCAATGAGGTAACACCAGGCAGAGATTTAAAAGCATAAATTTTTTAATGAGCTAAATTAAATTTTTTAAATATGTTCTTCATAGAAGCTATGGAAAATTGGAGAAGAAAAAACTGTGTATTAGGAATTGGAAAACAAGAACAGAAAAAACATCTTCTAGAGTAGGGCTTCTCCACCTCAGCACCATTTCCATTTGGGGCTGAATGACTGCTGCAGGTTGGGCTGTCCTGTGCATTGTGGGATACTCTAGCAGCATCCCTCATGCCTTGACTCTAACCTATAGGTGTCAACAGTAACTCCCTCGATTCTGACAACCAAAACTATATCCATACATAGTCAACTGTCCCTTGATGTGTGAAAGCACACCCAGTTGACAACCACATTTTAGAGAGAAAAAAGGCCCACAGCATTGAAATAACTGGTCATGAATCTGAGGTAGGGGGTCAGCGAAGCCATGTTGGGATTGATGGTATTAGATAGAATATGAGCTGAGTATATAGGAGTCATTAATATCACATGTAATTACATTTTTTCTGAAGATAATTCAAAAAACTGCTGTAACAGTACATCAACAGAGACCTGCCAGAAACTCAAGCTGGATTCAGAAAAGGACAAAAAAAAAACTACAGATATCAATGATGATGTCATATGGATCTTAACTAAGAGCAGAGAATATCAGAAAGATGCTTACCTGTGCCTTAGTTTATTGACTATGCAAGTATTTTCAACTGTATGGATCAAAACAAGCTATGGATAACATTGTGAAGCATGGGGACTCAGGAACACTTGATTGTGCTCATGAGGCACCCTACATAGACCAAGAGGCAGTTGTTGAACCAGAAGAAGGGAATACCGAATGGTTTAAAGTCAGGAAAGGCGTACAGCAGAGCTGTAGTCTTTCACATGTGTTCTATCTGTATGCTGAGCAAATAACCTGAGACGCTGAACCATATGAAGAAGAACACAGCATTAAGACTGGAGAAAGACTCAGTAACAACCTGTGATATGCAGATGACATCACCTTTAGTTGTTGAAAGGGAAGAGGACATAAAATTCGTGCTGATGAATATCAAAGAGCACAGCCTTCTGTATGGATTACACCTCAATGTAAAGAAAACAAAAATCCTCACAACTGGACCAATTAACATAAAAATAAATGGAGAAAAGATTGAAGCTTTCAAAGATTTCATTTTGCTTGGATCTACAATCAACACTCATAAAAGCAACAGTCAAGAAGTCAACCAACATATTGCATTAGACAAATCCACTACACGAGACATCTTTAAAGTGTTCAGAAACAAAGACACCTGCTTGAGGATTGAGGTGTGCCTGACCGAAGCCATGATATTTTCAATAATCTCATATACATGTCAAAATAGGGCAATGAATAAAGAAGACCCTAGCATTGATGCCCTTTAGTTATAGTGTGGGAGAAGAATATTAAAAGAACCATGGACTGCCAGAAGAACAAACAAATCTCTCTTGGAAGAAGTATAATCAGAATAACCCTTAGTAACCAGATGGCAAGACTTGGAGAAGGACATCATGCCCAGTAAAGTGGAGGGTCAGTGCAAAAGAGGAGGATTCACAACGTGATGTGTTGGCAGCAATGGGCTCAAGCGTAATCATTGTGAGGGTGCCACAGGACCAGGCAGTGTCTCATTGTGTTGTGCACAGGGTCACTATGAGTCAGAGCCAACTTGACAGCATCTAACAGCAACAACAACAGGGTAGGCGTCACAATGATATCAAAGGTCAATCTTGGTTTAATTGAAAGAGTGGAGGATCAAAGGATATGGGCTCCTGGTTAAAATGAAATCTAAAGGGTGTGTTGTAGGTTCCGAGTGAAGTGATTTGGAATGAAAACAACACTTGCTGTTTTCTTGCTCCATGGTCCAAACTATTAACCATTAATCTATACTGCTTCTCCATGAAACCAACAAGGATAGCAGAAGGGTCTCAGCATGCAAAAAGAAGCTTCTGAGTGATGGCATGTCACAGTTTTGCTAGGGAAAGATTGTGGTCCTGACAACAAGGGAACAATCACAGTCAGGCTGGTACTAGGTAGACTTATTTAGAATCAAGAACAAACTCAGAAGAGAGGGCAAGCAGAGAGGGACTTCCATGAGGTCAACTCACTGGGCCAACACAGGATCAACCCAAATGAATTCTAGAAAAGAACATTTGTTGTGCTATTTGCAACCACTCTCTCCTCTTATCTCAAAGTTTCTTTATGTAGCTCGAAATGCCAAAGACTGTATGGTTTCTTACTACCATTTCCAAAGAATGAATCAAGTCCTTCCTGATCCTGGCACCTGGGAAGAATATTTTGAAAGCTTCATCAGTGGAAAAGGTAAAGGAACTCCTTCACATCTCTGGGTGCCTACTCTAACTTCAGCCGAGTCTAGGGGACCATGCAGAACATTTTGATGCCCCACAATATTGTGTGTCTCATTAGGAATATCTTCCCACAAACTGAGGAGTCTCTTGGTGGTACAAGCTGTTAACATGCTCTTCTGCTAAGATTGGAAGTTTGAATTCCTGAGATATTTGTAGATTTGTTTAGAAAAATTAAGCTGTTGAAATCTCGACAGAGCCTAGTTCTACTATGACACACATGGGGTCACGATGAATCACAATTGACTTGGTGACAGCTGATCTGGTGCCCAGATGGTGACTGGGGTAACAGGCTGACTCCTCTCATAGCATATCCCCAAGGCCTGAGCAAACACTGCAGACCTGATCTGAAACCCCTTACTCTCGTCATCCAACGTGTGGATTGGACCTCATCTCAAAGAGTGCTCCCTTCCCAACATGAGGCCATATGTGGTTGTGCATAATAGACTTGAAGCCACTGTAGGTAGCAGCATGGGGCAAATTATCCAGAGATTGACCCAACCTACATCACCATCAAATTAAACAGATGAAGATTCTAGGGATTTATATGATTCATAATTTTGTTTTGATTCTCTGCAATACACTTTAAGAAAACAAGAATCCTAATTATTGAAATATTTTATATTATCCCTATGTAAACTGTTCTTTTCATTTGTGTCTGTTACAGTGTGTTGGGGTCCCTGGTTTGACCATGTGAAAGGGTGGTGGAAGATAAAAGACCAATACCAGATTCTCTTCCTCTTCTATGAAGATATTAAGAGGGTGAGGAAATATCCCTCAAATGAGCCTCTTCAGACCGAGATACATAGAAACCCAGAACTGTTTCAGGGAGGGCTGTCTTGAAGAATTTAAGTATGTCTTTCTGATACCCTCTTCCATTCCAATTCAACATTACCACAGAATCCAAAGTATGAAATTCAGAAAGTGATGCACTTCATGGGAAAGAACCTGGATGAAACTGTACTAGATAAAATTGTCCAAGAGACGTCATTTGAGAAAATGAAAGAAAATCCCATGACAAATCGTTCTACAGTTCCCAAATCTATCATGGACCAATCAATTTCCCCCTTCATGAGAAAAGGTTGGTGGAACCTATTTACCAAATATTCAGCGTGTCTACTAACATACTACCTGCCTCTTAGCAAGAAGATGCTGAGTTTTTATTAGCTACTAGACAAAATCTGTTGCTAATGTTCCTAATATAGAAGGAAGTTTTCTTGGGGATTGTTCTGGGATATTGGGTTGCAAAGAAGCAAGAGTCACTTGAGCTAGCCCCAATAAAAGGGTCTCCTTCTGAGTATTCAAATGGAGCAACAAGGACAAGACAATCTACTAGGTAGCTAAGAATAGGAGCCCATTCTCATCCAGACATCTTGGGCGCCACTGGGTCCACTCTCCAGAACTCTCCATGTCTGCTCCATTTGTCTGTCTCAGTTGACCAGTATACCGACTCTCCACCCTATATAGTTTTTTCCACTTCAAAACCACTTTTGACTTAACTCCTGTTCATCACTTAACTGTGACCTTGACCCATGTCCTCTCTACATCTTGATTTTAACTATGACTACTGCTTGGATCACCTCACACAGGACAGAGCAGAGCTGCTCCCTGAGGTGACTGAAGCTGTCAGTCTTTAAGGGAGCAGGTTGCCTCATCTTGTTCCTTTCTAAACATGAAGACCTCTTAGGTTGCCCTTTTTAAAGCCATACCAACTTCTCTTCCTCTTCTTGCGTGATAGTTCACATGGGAGAAAAACATATACTTTTATTTTTCACAGTGGAACCAGGGTCTACATACTGCTTTTTGCAACTTATTTTCATTTGTGTGTGTGTGTGTGTGCACATGACTGCAATTTTTTTACACTCTTTCCAGCTCTACAACAGCATCACAACTACTGAAACAAGCCAAACACTATGGGAAAAGTCACACCAAGGAAAAGACGATTCCATCTCTTGTCTTACCACCAGATGGTCAGTGGCGAAAAGTAGGCTTTCTTTAGGACTATTTGTAGGCACATTTCGGTTTCCCTTCAAATATATGCACCCTCCTTACCTTAGGCTTATGCAAACACAAACAAAAGTATCTACCACTGATGAAAACTTGCTCACTAAAACACAAGCTGTGTTTTCTGTTATTATACAATACACCTTCACATAAAAGAAAATCAGACATCCATCCAGGGAAATGTACGTAGGCCCTTTAAGCTCCCAGGTTCTAGTAGCGCCATATTATAGCACAGTATGGACACTCCACAACGAAGCGAACCATTCCCACTACATTACTGTCGTTTTCAACTTTTGTCTTCATGGATAATGCTACAGTGAACATCTTTTTTTATGTGTATTTATTCTTTTATCTTTAAGTTTTTATTGTGGATTGAGTGAAAGTTTATAGGGCAGATCATCAGTTTTACATTCAACAAATCATACAACTTGTTTCATTACAATGATTACAATCCCCTCCATGGACCATCAGTTAACAATATTTCTCTGTATTCACTTTAGCTCTTTTTTTTAAAAAACAAAACAAAACAAAAAAACCACTCAGGCATATATAATAATTTATCACCAAAGGACACATTCTGCAAGTCTGCCTACTGGCTGCCAGCTCTCAGTCCCTCTCTTTCCATGAGTCTAGAGTCCTCAGCTGCTCCCTTTCTCCGTGTCCCCATCTCTGCCTCCATCTCTGGCATCGCTGCTTCTCTGGATAAGGTCTCACATTCTGCTTGTGCTCTTCTCCCTTGATGGTCCTAGGGTCCTCTGTTTCTGGACTGAAAGATTAACTACTCCCCCATTTTTGTTACAAAACTTCTACCTTTACAATTTTGATAGTCACAATTAGTCATGATAATTACTCACTATTGAACCATAAGAATCTTATACCTATCTCTTTTCACTAGACCCATCTAGACAAGATGACAACTATTCAGTGGGGACTCTTTCTTCCCCCACACACTCTTAAACTAAACTCCCTCTTGAAACCTCATAAGCCAGTCACTTCATGCCTTTATCGCCTCTTTAATTTTAGGTAGCCGATATCTAAATTGCCCATCCCTATCTACCCTGTGTACAGAGGGAATAGCATTGAATCTTGATTTGAAGACTCCTTCCCTCTCTGATGGTATTTAGAGTTACTACCTCCATGAGTGTAGGTCAAGTTCATCAAATTGTAGCAATTTACCCTTGTATACTTTATCAAAAATTGTTGTTGTGGTTGTTTTATCTTCCTCTAGTTGAGTTCTCATTATCAAGCCATTGAGGCTACGTCAAATAGGTACCATCTGCAAGTTTGGGTGTTCTTGTACATCTCCCCTCCCTTCATATCAGCTGGATGCTTCACTCTCAGCTCTAGCCCTCTGTGGCTATGTCCTTGTCCACGAGCTCAGGTATCCCCAGGTCTCACCACACTTTGGGCCAACCAGCCCTTCCTCTTCTCTCTCTCATCTCCAGGTCAACAGAAGTCAGTGGACTGTGGTTGAACTCAGCCCATTTCTAATTGCTGCCTTTCCCCCTCTTCCACTCACCAGTAGACCAATGTAGTCGCCAGCAAGCTTACATGCCTACTCATGTGTTCCTTTTGAGTTTCTGTCTTAGAGGGTGGTTTGTCCTGAAGGAACTTGATTGCTTGCCTTGATGGCTTCCCAGAGAGCAGCTTGTTTATTCTTGTAGTAACCAGTCATACTGCCATATTTGTTTTGGGTTTTTCCTGATAATCTTTCTTTGAAGATGTATCTTCTGTCACTCTAGATGTTCCAGGCTGGTCTGCTTGTCCTTTCTATTGGGAATGCCCCACCTCAGAAGGTTCTGAATGGGACTCAGGATTCCACCTAAGGTCCTATATTCTGCAAAGGCTCTGCAAGACGCCTATTTCACTGGGCAAGTTCTATAACCCCTTTTAGATATTCCAATCAGTTATAGACTGAAGATGGGCTTACAGGTTTTCTGTAATCATGTTTCCTGACATTCCTTTCTATCCCTCTCAAGAGTCTATTTTACAATAGTAGGTAAGGGAAACCAATATGCATAAAACATCAAGCATCTGAGTATTATTTCCTCTCTTCAATCTAAGCCTAGATCCTTGTATCACAGAGCCCTCTTGTTACAAGGTTGTATTTATTTCTGTCTCACTTAGCCCATGCAAACCTGTCTCAGTGTTCCCCTATCTACCTTGTTCTTCCACCTCCTCCCCTTTCTTGTATTGCCCGCCCCAACACCCGAACTATGATGTGTCTGCCCTTACCCTGTGCTCTACCATCGCCTCCCTCCACCTTCCCCTAAGCCCCCCACCCCAACACTTCCATTGTAGTTACCTTATATTCCATTCACTTTTCCCTCCATTTGAGAGAGTTTATTTTATCCTGTAATGTACCTGACCTTCTCACCATCTGGATCTCTGTTCCTCTGTGTTTACCTTCTTTCACATTGTAATTGTTTGATCACAGACTGACATCCCAGATCCTCTGAATTTGTTCTTATAGTTTTATTCTGTTCTTGAGTCTTCAGTTGAGTTCTGGGTGGTGCTGCCACATACATCATTCTCTGATTGTTATCTGTTCTTGTTGGTTCTCAGTCCACAGAACTCCCTTTAGGATGGTTTTCATTGCAGAGTTGGCTTTGGCAAAATCCCTTAAGCTATGTTTATCCTGGAACGTTTTGATTACACCATTGTATTTGATTGACAGATTGCTGAGTAGAGGACTCTTGGTTAGCAGATTTTTTTCTTTCATGGTTTTATATATGTCTCCCCATTGCCTTCTTGCTTGCATGATTTCAGTAGAAAAATCTGAGCTTAATCTGATTTGCTTGCCTTTGTACGTTACACTTCTCTTTTCCCTAGCTGCTTTTGAGATTCTGTCCTTATCTTTGATTTTAGAGAGATTGATTACTATATGTCTTGGTGATTTTCTTTTGGGGTCTACCCTTCCTGGGGTTCGTTGAGCTTCTTGAATGCTTATCTTTTCACTTTTCAGGATGTTAGGAAATTTTTCTTCCAGAAGTTCTTCAACTATCTCCTCTGTGGACTTGTGTGATTCTTCCTGTTCTGGAATGCTGGTAAATCTTAAGTTATTCCTCTTCATGTTATCTGATGTGAATCTTAGACCTTCTTCAGATTTTTTTATCCTTTTTTTCTGCTAGTTTTCCTTGATTTGTCTTCCAGCTCAGTAGTTCTGGCTTCCATCTCTTTAATTCTACTCCTTTGCCCTTTCAGTGTATTGGCTATTTCTGATATTCTGTTATTAATCGTTTGGACCTTTTTCTGTAGGTTTTGAATTGTTTCCAATGCTGTATCTATCTTATTTGATTGTTCCTGTAGCGCTCTCCTGACTTCTTCCTTATTTTTCTCAACTCTATTGTAAAGTGTTTTGATGCATTTTATAATCATTTTTCTGAATTCCTTCTCAGGCATTTCCAAGGCCTGCCCGCCTTCCAGTATGGAGTCTAGGTCTACTTCCAGCTCATTTTCCTCAATCACTTTATCTCATTTCTGGTCATGCGCTGATATGGTCATCTGTTTCTATTTTTTGGGCATATTAACGAGTTATCTGTGGCTTTAATATTTAGATGGGTGTGTGTTTTGGTATTTTTTATGCTTTCTGATTGCATCCCGGTAGATGTAATCAGGAGATGGGCTTCCCTTTTCACTCTTCTCCTGAGAAATTTCAAGATGTCACTGTTGGTCGTTATGATGTAACTCAGGATTTAATTTCCAGCCTGTTTCCTTTTTAGTCTGCCTTTCCTGCTCCAGAACCCCTGTTGAGGCCTTCTTCCTAGTGATAAACACTTTAGAGCTGACTGTGGCCATTTTGCGCTGCCACTTGATTTTAAGTGGAAATTGTCCCTTTAAATTTCAAGGAGATCTGTGTGCATGCATAGTAGAACCCTCCTGGGGTGAGGGTAAGGTGTCCACTCATTCAGGTCCCCCTTCTAGTCACCAGAATGGAGGTGCACAGACAGCAAAACACCAATGCACAGATTTTTTTTTTTTAAGTGCCCATACCTGTATCTCTACCGTTCTGTCAGGTGTCCGTGGCTGCTCTGATCCTTCCCTGACTCTGTCTTGCCCAAGATGGCGGCTCTGGGAGCAGCTGAGAGTCTTGGATTAGAAAGCACTGGATTTCTTGTGTCTGCTACAACTTCCACTGGCTGTAAGCCTTCTAACCTTCTAAGGATTCCTTTATATGTGGTTCAGAGTTCTGACACCATCCCCTGAGCCTGCTTGGTCCTGTCTTCTGTGTTGTTGCTGACAGAGCTCCTCACTGCACTTCCACCCTCTCCACCAACTGGTTTATTCTCCTACAGTGAACACCATTGTACATGTTCTTATACCCTGATACTTCTTTTTCCCAAAATAGTTTTCTAATGGAGCACTGGTGGGAGAAAAAGTCTCCCCCACATGGCTTTTGTTTTTATTTTTAGAATTACTGTGTGGTGAAAGGTAGCATCTCATTCATATTTTTGAAAGTTTTTCCAATAAGATGTAATTTGTTGTTGTTGTTAGATGCCATCAAGTCAGTATCAACTCACAGCAACCCTATGCATAACAGAACGAAGCACTGTCCGGTCCTGGGCCAACCTCACAATTGTTGTCATGCTTGAACCCATTGATGCTGCCACTTGGACAATCCATCTCACTGGGGGTCTTCCTACTTTTCTCTGACACTCCACCTTACCAAACATGATATCCTTCTCCGGCGACTGGTCCCTCCTGACAATCTGTCCAAAGTAGGAGTGACGAAGTTTGGCCATCCTGGCCTCCAAGGAGCATTCTGGCTGCACTTTTTCCAACACAGATCTGTTGGTTATTTTGGCAGCCCATGGCACTTTCAGTATTCTCCTGCAACATCATAACTCAAAAGCATCAATTCTTACATAAAGTAAAATGCATAGATCCTACATGTATTGAGCGCTATGGGTTAATGTGCCAGACTGCAAAGCCGTTTGAACTGCAAGGTCGGCGGTTCAAGCTCACCAGCTGCTCCTCAGCAACCCTACACAGGGTCACTATGGGTCTGAGTCGACTTGACAGCACTTAACAATAGGAACAGCATGCATTTAGGATACAAATTTTGATAAACATATATATGAATATGACCAGCACTGAAACAAGACATTAGAGATTTTCATTTTTAAATGTTCCCTTTTCCTATCCCTTTCCAGTAAGTCTCTAACCTCAGAGACTGTCAGTCTTGGTTGATTTTGCTTGTTCTTGGACTGTGTGAATGGAACCCTGTAGTATGCATTCTGTTGGGTCTGGCGTGTTTTGCTCAGCACAGTGTTATGAGATCCTGCCATGTGTCCGTAAGTTCATTCCTTTGCATTTCTATACCACCGTCCATCATTTAAGTTCACCTGACAAGGCTCAGGTCATGCTTTGGGTCACTTGGTTACCTGGTATAGAGGACCCTAATGCTTCCATTGGTGTCTACTTGAAGGAGAAGTTATCAATGGCAGATATGGCCATGATGCGTCACCAAGTCCTTCAGTGAGGAATGATGCTCCTCTTTGGTCTCTCTTAGGAACTGTGGGAGACTGGAAAGACCACTTCACTGTGGCTCAGAATGAGAGGTTTGATCAAATCTACATGGAAAAGATGAAAGGAACCTCAATAACTTTCTGCATGGAGCTCTGGACAAAACCAAATAAAACAGAGAGAAGACAAGAAAGGGGCCGCTCTTGTCAGTCCCTTAGCTGCAGCCAGAATTTCTGGTCCCACCGTGTGAAATTATGAGGGGCTTCAAACATTTTATGGAAAAATTCCATTATCATTTCATTCCATTTTTCATTGAATGTTTTGAAACCCCCTCATATGTTATAATGCAAATTGTCAGTGATTATATTAATAATATATAACAACTTCATTCTTAAAGTGCCGTGCCTAATGCCTATTTTCTCAACTATTCCTTTCAAAGGGAAAACTAAGATGACTTAATAAAGAAAGCAAAATCAAAGGCCTCAACACTGCAAAGGTGTTTTTTTTTTAACTCTCAATTTTCCTGTCAAAGTATTACCTTAGTTTTCTAGTCTGTACAGTAATGATACCTTGTATACAATACATCAATATTTGGTTATGTTTATCTCACTAACATGAAGTTGCTGAAGGCTTTGTCTATCCCTCATGGAATAAATGCTGTCTCCTCTCTCCCACAAAGTCCTCCAAACAAGCTAAGAAACCCAGAGCCTTAGTCTTAGGCTGGAGAAGAAAACCAGTGGAGCTTTATGTATAGTATGGTGCTGTGGGCTAATGTGCTGGACTGCAAAGTCGGTGAACCACAAGGCTGGCAGTTCAAGCTCACCAACTGCTCCTCAGAAACTCTATATAGGGTCACTATGGGTTGGAAGTGACTTGACGGCACTTAACAACAACATATATATGTATATATGAAAGGAGAAGGAGCTCTGGTAGCATAGTGGTTACAAGGTGGGCTGCTAACCTCGAGGTCAGCAGTTCAAAACTACCAGCCATTCCATAGGGAACCTGTACATGGACTAAGAGGCAGTTGTTCAAACAGAACAAGGTGACACTGAATGGAATGAAATCAGGAAAGGTGTGCACCAGCGGCTAGTCTGTCAGGATACTTATTCAGTCTGCATGCTGAGCAAGTAATCCATGAAACTGGATTCTATGAAGACAAATGTGTCATCAGGATTGGAGGAAGACTTATTAACAACCTGTGACAAGCAGATGATACAACCTTGCTTGCTGAAAATGAAAAGGACTTAAAATATTAGCTGATGAAGATCAAAAATCACACAGTATAAACTGCACTTCAGTGTAAACAAAACAAAAATCCTCACAAGTGGATCAATGTTGTTGTTGTTGTTGTTGTTGTTATGTGCCATCGAGTCGGTTCCGACCCATAGCGACCCTGTACAGGGTTTCCGAGGGTGTAAATCTTTACAGGAGTAGAAAGCTTCATCTTTCTCCCGCGGAGCAGCTGGTAGTTTCGAACCACTGACCTTAAGGTTCGCAGCCCGATTCGTAACCACTACGCTCATCATGATAAATGTATAAAATATTTAAGTTGTCAAAGATTTCATTTTGCTTGTATCAACAATCAACATTCATTGAAGCAGCAGTCAAGAAAGCAAATGACATATTATATTATGCAAATCTGCTGCACAAAACTTATTTTAAAAATGTGTTCAAGAGAAAAGATGTCAGTTCAAGGACTAAGGTGCACCTGACCTAAGACACAGTATTTTCAATTGCCTCGTAGGCATGTGAAAGTTGGACAATGAATAAGGAAGATCATAGAAAAATTGATGCACTTGAATTATGGTGTTGGAGAAGAACAGTAAAAGTATCATGGGGCTGCCAGTAAAACAAACAAATGTGTGTTGGAAGTACAATCAGAATGCTCCTTAGGTGAAATTTTGTCTGTCAAACTTCGGCCATGTTATCATGAGGGACCAGTCCCTGGAGAAGGTCATTGTGCTTGTTAAAGTATGTTGTTATTGTTGTTATGGGCTGTGGAGTCGATTCCGACTCATAGGGACCCTGCAGAGGGTTTCCGAGGCTGCATATCTTTATAGGAGCAGAAATCTTCATCTTTCTCCCGCAGAACAGCTGGTAGTTTCGAACTGCTGACCATGAGGTTCACAGCACGATTTGTAACCACTGTGCTACCAGAGCGCCTTTGTTCAAGTATAGGGTCAGTGAAAAAAGGAAGCCCCTCAATGAGATGGGCTGGCACAGGGGCAGCAGCAGTGGGCTGAAGTGAAGCAATGATTCTGTGGCTAGCACGAGACTTGGCAGTGTCTGGTTCTGTTGTCCACTGGGTTGTTATGAGTCAAAACCAACCCAACGGCACCCAAAAACAACAACAATGAGACACCTAATGGTTAGTACTCATACTTGGTAAATTAGAGGGTCAGCTAAAAAGAGAAAAAACGCCAACAAGATGGATTGACACAGTGGCTCAACATAAAACTGATCAGAATGGTGCAGGACCAGGCAGTGTTGGGTCTGTTGAATAGGAGCTGACTTGACAGCACCTAAGAACAATAAAAAGGTGACCAAGATGAGTGGATTGCTGACAGAACTTGTCTGGAGCCAACTATTGACTGCAGAGACATATTTAAACACAAACACATCCTGTTTGGAATAAACCCACGCACATATAAACTAGAGCCCTAGTAGCAATTCTTTATGACTCATTCCCATAGGTCACAATTGCAATTACTCATCTTTTAGGGCTGTCTTGCCCTCCCTGGGGGATGACAGAAACCTGGGTTTGTATAATCCAGGATCTGAAAGGATGCCAGCCCTTAATCCATGTCAGATGCCGTGGCAGCTTGCCTCTACCAGGGTCAAGTTGTTCTGCTGGTATCTCCAGCCCATCTGGGCTAAGTTTGATTCTTTACCAAAGTCTCTATGGTCTCTAAGTCAGATACAAATTTTCCAGAACCAACTCCACCACCATCCCGTGGAGTGCCATGGAGTACGCTTAAACTCCCATCCTTCCCTGGAACCTATAATTCTCGAAACAGGAACATTCCTAATTTGTTTGAGGAACTATAAGAAGGTCAGCATGGAAGACTCAGAGTGAAGTGGGGTTAGCTCAGAAAGGACACCAGAGGGCATTAATACCTTTCATATTCCAGAAAGCACAAGCTGGGTGCCTGGCTTCAAGCAGAGCTCTGAGATGGGGAACAAGTTGCAAGGAGAAACCAGAAGGTATACACTACAAGTTCTCCCAGAGGCAGCCCCTTATCAGCAGCTGTGATGGACACACTAGGGTCCAGGCACCTGCCCTAAGAGCATCTGTTACTGTTAAGTTCCATCGAGACAGTTCTGATAGGGTTTCAAGGAACAACTGGTGGGTTTGAACTGCAGACCTTGTGATTCACAGTCTAGTACTGATACTACAGTGCCATACATGGGGGGTGGGGGGTGGATTACAGCTTAGGAAATCTTACAGAGCAATTCTATTTCGTCATAAAGGATCAATATGATCAGAATCAACTTAACAAACAGGACAAAGAGATGCATAAAATTTAAATGCCCAAAATGCCTTGCTTCCTTTCTTCCTACTTATGGAAGGTGGACATTATCTGAGGAAACTAGGAAAAAGTGTGGTTTCTATTTCCTTGTAGCAGGATTTGAAGTGTCATTTATTTTATAAAGTTAGTTTGATGACCATAGCTTTCTATCTTTCACTTTGAATTAAAGCATAATATAAACAAAGACAAGTGTACATATAATTAAAAAAAAAAAAAAAAAAAAAGCAGAGGTAAGGCTTACTGATACATTTTTGCCTGAGAAAGAACAACTCACCAGCATTAATATTAGGGGAAGAAATGAGAATGCTGAGCAAATGAGTTTGGGGAGACAGTCCTCCCAGCCCTCGTTTGGAAATAAGTTTTTTAAGCCTGACACTAATCCTGCTCCTTTAAACAAATGACAGACTCATTACTTTTTTCCCTACTTATAATAAAAAAAAAAAATTGTGAATCCCATAAAACTGCTTTCAGGAGAGGCGGGCCTTGCTGG